GCAATGAAGCACTGTGAACCCAAGCAGCCTGCATTAGCAGCTCTCTCTAAGCACATGTGCTGCCTCAGTTTAGACGCACCCACAAATAAATGGAAAACTGCTTGCTTTGTTTACCTTACTAGATCTTAGCACAGCATTTAACTATTCAGCTAAGAAGGTCCTGAGAAAACACATTCTCAATTCAGATGCTATTTTTGTTGAAAGCATAAATGTAATCAAATTATTTTAAGAAGAATGATATAAAATAAACATTAACAAAATTATCTTAAACTGATGAATATTCATAGACGAAACTGATGGACATCTATAGATTTATTTTCTGCTAACTTTTACAGTGGTCTAATTCAGGATTACTGAATATTCATACCAACTACAACAAACAGAAAGACATTTTCTACTGTTCTACTCAGCAGGCTGCAGCAGGAGGATCGAAAGTTTCAGCCCAGCCCTGGACAGTTCACTGACTTAGTGGGACCCTGTCTCAAAATAAAAAATAAATAAAGGGCTTGGAGATATAGCTCAGTACTTCCTCAGTTCAATCCCCAGTATCACGCAAACAAAAAAAAATTATGAAAATATTTTGTAAATTGGCCTGAGTATTTCACCAAAGCCAAAGCACCCCCAAAGCCAAACAAAAAGCAACAACTAAACTAGCTTAGGTATAAACCAGTAGGTCCACTACTGAAAAAACAGTGACTCAGGGGCCAGGGTTACAGCTCAGCGGTGCAGTGCCAGCCTGGCAAGCACAAGGTCCTGAGTTTGATTCCCAGTATCAAAAACAAAACAAAAAAGTGCTCTAAGAAATGAGCAACTGTCTTGTTTGAGCACTAGCAGAGAATTGGGCTGTGAATTCACGAAGAAGCATTACACACCGTATTTAAATATGAAATCTGATTTTGGGTTTCTACTCTTCTGTGCAAATTGGGTATGAATTTTATTTAAAGTGCTAATTTAAAAAGGGTCAAAGTCTCCAAAAGAGGAACATTTCTGGCTTCCTTTTTAAAAACATTTTTGTCCACTTGCATCTGTTCAGTCATACGTACAGATCCATGCACTTAAAAATGTTTACATTTGTTCCTACAGAGGTGCTTCGGGAGGACTGCAAGGTTAAAAAAAGACCCAATATTTATTGAGTGCTTAAGATGTGCCAGGCACTGTTCTAAGCACTTTTCAGAGATGGCTGTGTTGAGCTCTCCCCATGAGCCAACCACACCAGGCCAGCAATTGTGCCCCTGCTCCGTGGGGGGGCCTGTGCCCCTGCTCTGTAGGGGGGGCCTGTGCCTCCACTCTGCAAGGAGAGAGCAGCAGGAGGATCAGGCAGGATCGCTTCTGCAGGCTCACACCGCTGAGACCCTTGCCCAGCCGTCCGATCTCATGGCCTGCACCTTTACTGTTTACTTGCCCTAAAACACCTGCTCACCAGCAAAATCACAGCCACAGCCTGACCTCTGGCTCTCCTCCATGCACTGTCGCCCCACAGGCAGTAACTGAGTGTCAGGGACAAGAGCTGTGGCTGAACAGGCCTCGCGAGTGCTCACACAGCGGATGAGGGCAGGGCCTGGTGTGGGAAGCCGGCTCCACCTTTTCTGGTCACGTGAACTTGTGCCGGCTCCTGTACAAGCAGAGCAACAGGAGCACCTCAAGGGTAGGGACGGGATGAAGTCATTTATTTCGCACATGACTATTATAACTACTGGTATGTAGTCCTTGTTCTTGATAGGCTGGGGTGGAAGAGCATGAAGTCATGTGAAAAATTACAGAACACTATAAAAAGTCCTACAAAGGAGGACTGTTCCAACCACACGAAGCCCTGCAGGGGTGGGTGGGTACAAAGAGGAGTAACAGGGGAAGAATAATAACCGGCAGTTAAATGGAGGAAGGGCTTCCGGTTAGCTAAGTGTAGAGCCCACATTTCATTAGTTTATTCTGTATCCTATGCTTCATGCAAACGTAGATCATTTGTCATTTGTAGACTGAATAACATACGCTGAGCACCTCTGATGTGCTGGGCATTGCAGTGTCTCCCACACGCTGCGGATCACTCAACGCTTGACACACTGAGGTACAGACACTTGAGCTGGCTTTGGTTCCAGCTCGGTGTTCTTCTGCCTTTGAGCAGGGAAGACTGTTACCAGTCACCAGGGTGGGTGACCTGCCATGATCCGCAGGCTCCTGCGAGCCCTCATGTTTGCATCTGTCCATGGATATGCTGTACTGCACTGCGCATCGTCCATTTTGTGACGTAAGTCACAATCAAAAAAGGTAACTCAATACACTGTGAGTTTCCTAAAAATTTGCAGTAACTTTTATATGTAAAAAAGCAATAAAGTACAGGTTTGGTATCAGTGTTTCATTGCTGCTGGCACTCATCTTGACCCCGTGCTTTAGGCGTCTAAGGAACATGCTGAGAATACGACACTCTTCCTTCCCACCAGGAGACAACCAGCTTCCACTCACTCTCTCCCTAGCTCAGTGATACTAGCAGCACCCAGTACCAACCTAGTTCTCCACAACAGAAACCTGGTCCCTCTCGCACGCCTCTCTTCACTTCTCTTGTCCTGGCCGCTCCTGGTTGGGCCTCCCCACTGGGCCTGGCTGACCACACAGCAGCGACTCCTCCCGCTCTGGGTCACTGTCTCCTCTCTCCGTCTGTCTGCCACCCACGCAGTTCCAGCCACCACTCTGAAAGGCGGGCAAGATTATCCCTCTACCTCAAACTTGCAGTGGCTCCCTATTGGCCACATCCAGGATCAAGGCTGGAGGCCAGGCCTGGACTGTCCGGATTTTCGCTTCCTGGCCCCATTCTGTTTTACCAAGCCAGCTGGACAGCTGTGCCAGGGACACCGGAGCAGTCCCCCAACCTTACGACTTTGGACGTGACCCTTCCAGCACTGTGGGCTTTCAGGGCCCATATGCAATTCCCATCACAGTTCTCCAAGATAACTCCCATAGGGTTAGAGGCATTATCTCCTCTGGACTCGTGGCTTAGAAATAACAAAAGAACAGAAAGGCATCTAAGTTTGGGTGCCTTTGCAGTGACAGGCCCTTCTCCCGTGAAGTCATCCCCACTCCTCCGCCCCGCGCCCTGGGCAGGCCAGCTCAGGCCGCCCAAGAGCAGGGGCCATAGACAGCACTTGTGCACCCACAGCTGGGACTCGCTGGTATGTTCTCTAGGTTCAGTTCCAGTTCTAGCTGCAGGGAGAAATCAAGTGAATGGGTTGGCTGATGTGAACACAATGTCCAGACAGACACTGTGGAGGAGACAGTGAGGAGACAGTGACCCAGAGCGGGAGGAGTCCCTGCTGTGTGGTCAGAGAACTGTGATGTCCGCTTCTCCTTAGAAGCACGTTGTTCTGCACGGGCGATCCACACCTCCGTTTTCATGGACAGCTCTGAACGCGCTTAAACTAATCATGGACAAGAGGTAAGTTGTTTTATCTAATATGTAAATAAAACCATAACATTGATATTGTGAGGATAATTAAAATGCTAGTCTATTTCACGAACCCACGTAAGGCCTTTATCGATCTCCTTCAAATTATTTCTAAAGTGCAACTGGGGCTTAAAAATTTAAAAAATGAGAAAGTTCAGTTACTAGCATTAGACCAACCCATTTGGGAGATGAATCATACAACTTAATCTATTGATCCTAATATACCAATGCCTACCAGAAAAGCAAATATGAAGGGAAATATGACAGGAAAAAAATTTAAGGAAAATATGAAAGTATGATTAAAAGTGCTCAGAAGCAAATATACCTCACAGAATCATCTGTTTCCAAATACATGACCTTCCTGGGGATTGAATCAGGGCCTTCGTTGCAATACCCATACGATATAATCAAATGTGAAGACTACTTCAGGGTAAAACATTATTAGCATTAGTGATTTTTTAAATAAAATTTTAGTTTAGGTGAATTTTTAATGGCTGCAGCACGTGGTTACACATTTAAAAAATACCCCTCTAAGACAATGGAGTGGATAGAAGTTTAAATTATTTTCTAGTCTAAAAACATCACAGATGATTATTTTTATTCCCTCCCTCCATTACAGACCCAATGTGCATATATGCTATCAAACTGTCTTCCTACAATCTGGAGGAGACACTTTGTTTTTAAATAGCAACGTGTTTTTTACTTAAAATTTAAAAGGCAGGGCCAGATCCCTGTCCTACAGGCCTGTGGGAGCTCTCGGCAGGGCCTTCTGAGACCCTAAGAGATCTGATAATAATGGATCATTCACTCTCGTTTATTTTAAGAACTCTGCCAACAACTCGAGGTTCAAAACGTAAATCTATTTAGGTAAAGACATTGCAATAGAGTACACAACTGCAAGTAGAGCACATTATGAAAGAAATCCGTTTATGGTCCAATGAATATAAAACAGCAAGTCAGACAGATATCTCAGATGTAATCCAGCATCCGGGCCTGCAACAGCGTTCCAGCTATGATATTAAAATAGCAAACCTTTGCCGAGCGTTAACCTATCATTACACCAAGTAAATGGCATGGCTCTGCCACCTAATTAGCAGTGTAGCTTGCATCTATAAAATAGAATTAGCACCACTGCTCTTTTTTTATTATTAGTTTGTGTTTCCAGAAAGGTATGACCTTATCTGTATGCTTCTGTTCATTTATGCCCATCTACAAAGGATTTAATTATGTTCTTTTAGTTTTCTATGCCAAGGAAATTGAAAACTGCCACCCTGAAATTAAAAATGTTAAAGAAATTAGTGAGCAAACTATTTACGCCGCTGCTGCCCCTCTTTCAGAGATAAAGAATGGAACCATGTTTAAACAAATGGAAAGCACACGGGTTTTGGGAAAGAATATTCGAGGCAATGAAATCATTACTAGCCTTCTTTTTCTCTTTCCCACACAGGTATTTTTCAAGTTCTTCTAGTTGTTTTGGGCAGAACTAGCGAAGGGAAAACTGCACTGAAACTATAAACTCCTAAGTGTTACACCAAGTAGAGTCAGCAGCCAGAAGATCTCGACTTACATCTGAGGAAGGCGATTCAAGAACAATGCCAAATCCCAGGACGTGGCTCTGCGCTGCAGACGTGTGCTCTGCGGCTTGGCCCGCGGGCTGCTCCGAGGCCCCTGCTGCTGACTTCTTCTCCACTTCTACCGCGTTAGCCTTCTGCTTCACGGTGCTAGGTTCTGCCGGCTTTGGGGGCACTTTTTTCTTTTTGTTTCTCTTGCGAGAGACAGCAGTTCGCTGGGAGCACATAAGGGAAATTGGGGGTTGTTGTCTGTTTTGAGTTCCAACTGTGAACAATAAACACAAACATGGAACAGGCACTGGTGTCTAACTGAGGAAAACTTACCCCGGGCCCAGCCCTGTCATTTCCAAAGTGACACTGAAGTGAAGCTCCCTCAAGGATAAAGCACATCAAAACAAGTCTTACTCTGTGTCAGACGCACGCTGGGGCACCTTAAAGCCCTCAGCGCAGAGATACTCCCAGGGGAACCTGCTCCTACCGCAGCGGATCACTTGGAGTGATGCGACCGCTGGCTTCAATGGAAGGAAAAGAGCAAGAGCCGTGAAAGAGCGCTGCACCACAACCTCATGGGTCACGTGCCACGTGTAAATAAATGAGAGCTCTGGAACTCAAATTTAGGTGCAGCTGTCCACACTTTCTGGTAAGCCCATTTCAGGAACACTCCAACCGTCATTTGGAGTCAGCCGATCAGCTGCTAACAATCTACAGGTACCAAAGTGGATAAAGATGAAACAATGATAATCCTACAAGGAAGACTGATAAAAGAGACACGGTTTGGAAGGGTTCTGTAATAGGGACCAGCAGGCATGTGCAGAATGCCTGTTAGTCACTGAAGCGGGCCCCGCAGGGCCTTCCTCATCAGATCCTCTGCACACCCACCCTCTCCAGGGCGCAGTGCCAGAAGGGTTAGACCAGGCTGCTTCGCTAGACTAGTTTTACACAGCTGAAAAGTCAAGCAGAGTAGTAAAGTCTAGAAGCAGCCTGAGTTCCAAAGTGAAAAGCACAGCACAAGGACTAAGCGTGCACAGTGACACACACTTCAAGAATCCCAGCTGCTAAGCGCAGTTCTCACACGCGCCCTCTGAGAAGCACTGCTTCCAATGGAACACGAAGCAGGGAAGTATGGCTTGAATTTGCACTGAATTCCCTTGTATTAATAAGGTTTCCTAAATGCATATGACCACAGGATATGCTTGCTTTTTGACAGAAAGGAACCTACAAATACAAGCCAAGAAAAACAAATGGTCTTCAAAGTCACATGCACACAAGACATATCCTTTGACTTATTTCAGTCTGAAAATAAAGAGTATTTACACTTTGATCCTGACAGTTTCATCTCCAGGCAGGAAGGAAATTTAAAAGTATTGGACACAAAGTACCTGAAAAACCAACTTGTGCGAACAACCGTTCATGCAGTAGTGAGTCTCACTGGTGCTCGACGTTAGTGGCACACGAGAATCACTAGTTTTTTTTTAAACAGCCAACTCCAGTGCCTCAACCCCAGCTCCGCAAGCGCAGGGGAACATCCAGGGCCGGCCTGGCAGCAGCACTCTGCTAAGCTCCTCAGCGACTGCGTGCACCCAGGCTGAGAACTGCTCTTGTTCTACCCACGTGTCCTCCAGGCCAGGACTGTCCTGTCTCCAGCCTCAAACGGGCCAGGGAGGCAACGACCTAGAGCAGCTCTAACTTCTCCATACCCAGGTAAAAGGACGTTTTCGACTTAAAGAACACAGGGAGTATCTGACTGTTGCTTTTCCTTTTGAAAATCTAGACACGGCTCAAGTTTCTGGCACCCAGACCTTGCTGCTTGACCCTACTCCTTGTCTTGTCCCTCAGATAAAGGTGAACCTTTCAAAATATAATTCAAATCTAAGTTCTTACTAGTAATGAGACTGAGATAAATCTACTCCACACAAGTTCTTCTCGGTTTAAGAAAATTAAAGGAGTCATTTATTTGGTTTATCCTTTATGCTATCCATCGCTCCGGAATCGTTTACTTTCCTAATCTGCAAAGGCTGAGAAAGGAACACATGGTGACAAAGTGGCATTTACTTAATAGATTCTAAAAAGGCTTCAGCCAAGGATTTAAATGGTTGCAATTTGTAGTTTGCCTTTTCAGTAGTAAGGAGCTTAAATAACAAAATAAATCATTACAATTTCACATGCATATTTTCTTAAATACAACAAATTCTCACTCCGAGAAAAGAATCTGTACATAGTAAAGCAACCTTTCTTTCTGAGGCCCCTCTCTGAGAGACGCTAACCTTTGCCGGGCTAAGAGGAGAACAGACTATTGTGGTGAAATAAGGTGAATCAAATGCTTACTGACCTGAGCAAAATGTTGGTTTTTGCCTTGGGATAACACCAAGCTTAGTACTTACAAACATGTTGCTGTTCAGCAAGTCTTTAGCTCACCTTACTTTAATATGATCTTCAGTGACTGATACAGCTACGTATTAAGCTTTTTATATCAAAATCAGGGCATCAGGACTTTACCAGAACTCACTCAGTGGCACCACGACCAACTTCTGAATGCCAGATGATCAGAGGGTAGGCAGGCCAGGCTTGAGGGGCCTATGCGGTCTGTTCTCCTGCCTCACCCCAACTAACACCAAGCAGCAGTTCCCCCGACAAGAGGAAGGACTTAATAAGATGATTTATTATTTCTTGTACCTGTGTCAAAAATACCTGTTTTCCCCCTAATTGTGGAGATGAGAAAATGAGCCGCTCAAGGAAGACCTGGACCTCCAGACAACACCACTAATGAGACAGCTGCTGCTGGCGTCACACCTTCCAGAGTTATTTATGCTTGCCGTCTCGTTTTGATTTGGGAAGAATCCTGTGAGTTGGGTTTAAAGCTCCATTGACAGGCAAAACCGAGATGCTCAGGAGAAATGGGGTGTCCACCCCCCAATGTGAATCCTTTACCTTTCTGTTCTTTACCTCACCCAGCTACAGGGGGAAAACGCCTGCAGTCATGAAACGCCAGAGACAGACAAGGTGTCTGGAAGCCTCTCTGGCTGTGGGAAGGAAGGAAAAGCCGGAAGTGGAACCTGAGGCTCCGCACTTCTCGGTGCTAACGTCCAGGAACATCGTCCACAGTGAGACTCACGCTTCCCAAAGGGCTTTTCTACAGCGCTTGCTCCCTGATTTGACCAACTGACCTTTGCAAAGTACTGGGAGGGCATGGTATGAAGCATACTGACTACATGTATATGAGGACACAAATAGTACTAGGGGCGATCCAAATTTTCTTGATTTGCTAAGGAAAAAAAACCCCATAGCGTCACAGAAAAAGCCGAGAGAATGGATTCTCAAAAAGGCACAGCAAGACAGCAAGGTGGGAAGGATTCCGTAACAAAGGCACAAAGAAGATACCAACGGAAGATACCAAATATGTGGTAACAATCAAAGGCCCCTCGCAGAGGCCTGGTCTTTGTACCTGCTTGGAGCTGCATTAGTTTCCGCATGGTCTTGAGCTCTTGGAGAATGGCCTGCAATGTTGACTGGCAGTTACAAGTACAGCAGTTTGATCCAACTGACGAATTCGCCACCGGAAGTTCTCCTGAGCATGAGAGAAAAGAATGACATGCACCCAAGAAAAAAAAAATTATAGATGGGGAGGGAAGACGGCACCTTAGCAGGATTCTGAGCTGTGTGCAATTGGCGTGAACCTATGCCCGAGGAGAACACAGCCAATAATTCTCACAGCCTGGACTGCGGGGTGTGCTCTATCTGATTATCTGACTTCTATGGGGCAAGGTGCAGGCTGTGTCACAGGAGACCGCACGCAGGCCTCCCTGCTGTCGGACTGGTTATCTCAGGTAACAACACCCCAGGAAGTCACCACGAACACACTCGTGCTGGTGTGCACAAAACAAAACACCCCGCCACCTCTAACTCTGATGCCAGACTTTCAGAACAACTGGTCTCCGTATCATTATCACTGTTCATATTAAGAATTGAGAGTCGATTAAAAAGAGTTGGAATAGGTGGCATATAATTTCATAAATGAAGACCTGGGACCACAGGGACACGCAGGGACACGCAGGGAATTCCCTCAGGGCGGCTGTGCAGGGCGGGAGAGGCAGGGAGCAGCGGAGGAGTAGAGCTCCTCTCCTGAATGGGCCAGAGGGTGTTTGTTGGTGGGCGCCTTTCCCCGGCTTCACGGAGCTGGTCCTCCTGCATCTCTGCCGCTCCTGCCTCATACCTTCCCACTGCCACCGCCACAGTCTCTCTATCGCTGTGTAAATTCGGTGCATTTTTCTTGAGTAACATTATCCTGTTCTGCTTGCCTTACCCGTAAACAAATATCCCCATATTGCCCTGGGATCAAAAGGCACAGGGGAAAGGGCTCTGGCGGCTCTGCCCGATCCCTCCAGGGCCAACGTTCACCATCATAAAATGCAGCAGTGAAAGACACAGCTACCACTGTTAGGTTGGCAAGGTAAGTTGTACAGTTTTGTCCCAATGACACGCCTTCCTGTACACGGGCTGTCACGTACATCTGTAACACGCACTATGTGCAGATAATGCAGAAAAGTTCACCATCACCAACTACAAAATGCTTTTAGCACAATTATTTACATCCAAGGCTGTACCACACTTAGATGTGACAGCTTTAAACCTGCAAATGATTCCGGGGAAATATCAACAGTCCCAGTTACATAGAGGTAGGCCTTGAACCATGGGAACTATGTGGAGGTTAGGGGCATCAAAGCTCTTTGCCATCAAAAATTCACAGATTTCCTATCATCTTGTTCTGAATTTCTGTATCGTTTTTTACAGTTTTTGTGTTGTTTTCTTTTTGTCTTTATTATTGTTATTTTGTTACATTTTTTTCTCTTTAAAATTAAAAAAAATCCACAATGAACTACACTTATTTTTTCTTTTCGGGTGTTGAGGATTAAATCCAGGGCTTTTGCAGTGAGCCACATCTCTTGCTCCCCCCACCCCATTTATTTTGTGAGACAGGGTCTCGCTAAATTACCAGGCTTGGTATGAATTTGAGATCCTCCTGCCTCAGCTTCCCAGACTGCTGGGATTACAGGCATGCACACCACATTGGGTGGAGAACTTCTTTTTTTATTTTAAAGAGAATAAAAAAATAAAGACAAAAACCCAATAAAAAACAGTACAGTGGGTCGGGATACAGCTCAGTGGCATAAGCGCCTGCCTGGCAAGCGCAGAGTTCGATTCTCGGTACCAAAAAAAAGAAAAAAACGTACAGAATTTCAAAAGAAGATGATAGGAAATTAGTAATGGTTGTTATACTGCACATTGTCATCTTCAAAGTAGTTGTTCAGATTACCAGACACAGGCATGCAAAATTGATCAAACAGTTAAGCATTAACTGTTTCTTTCAATAAACCAATAGAAATTAGTAGTACAATTATCTTAGCTATCTGGTGTGTGCATATATATTTTTTTTCCCTTCCTTCTTTCTCTCTCTTCTCCTTCCCCCCACCCCAGCTGTTCTTTCCTTTTGAGCCGTTTGGGTGGTGGACCTCTAAGCACAACTTTCGATCCTCTGCAGCAGCAACACGAGATGGCGGTGCATGGCTCCCACTAGTGCAGTCTGTACAGCTAGTCACCTTCCGCGGTGACGGTGTCATGCTGTGCCCTGGCATTTGCTCCTGTCTCAGCTGAGAGTGGTATCATGCATAGTCTACATGTGTGTGCGGAACTTTTGATACATTTAAAAACTGTAATAGATTTGTGTATGTTTATGGCAGTACATGATAAAACATTATTACCTATAGACATTTTGTGTATTCACGACATATATAACTTTTTCCTCAATTTTCTCTCTATTTCTGGTTATGAGGTTCATCTGAGAACCTGTTTTCCTAAACTGTGATAAATCTCAAGCAAAACTTCTCAAAGTGGACCTGCCCCACTCAAATCCATGTTATTCGAGGGTCAACTGTGTAATGTGTTTTTATTGAACGTATGCAAGCAGTAAGCACAAAAAGGTCTATATTGAACAGAGGGGGAAGAATTTATGGTGTAATCTGTGTTAACATTAGTAACACTCTCCAAGTCAAATCCACCGCCCTTGCCGTGTGCTGGAAAGCGGGACACTTGTCACCCAAAGATTATCCACACACACCCGAAGCATCTCACTTTCCTGACCATCACTTTGATGGCAGGAGAGTGAGGCGGGCTTGAGGATATCCCTCGGCACTACTCCAAGTGCTGTCCTTGTCATTTCTGGAGGACAAACCGATCTTTCTTGGCTCATTATAAATCACTTTCTAATTTTAAAGAGAAAGGACTATTTTATGGAGGAGCCTTTAAAGAGCCATCTCGGCAGGAAGATGCCAGCCTGCGAACCTGACACAGGGGAGGAGAGACGCGGCTGTGTCTGGGGTCCTTGCCGTCTCCTCAGTGTGTCGGGAAGGTTTTTCCAGCCCCTGAACTGGTTGTGTTTAAAGAGAAAAAACAAATCAAGACTTCTTTTTCTTAAAGGCTATCATAAAATGAAAACAGACAGAAAAAAATCTTTTAACTTTTCAAGGAAGCTCAAAATGTCTTATTTTTTTCCCTTGTACTGTGCAAAAACTATAGATCTGCACATCTGTAGGTAGTTTACAAAACAATGTTCAGTGTCGCTGGATAGAAAATTAATACGACCAAGAAAAGCACCAATAGTTTTTTCCTTAAGCTTTGAAAATGGCTGTCATTTTTTCCCCCTTAGCAATTAGAGACTTTAAGGAAATCTTATTTTAATAGAATACTTTTCAGTGCTAATGAGGCAAGTTAGAAACACAGTCCTCGGGTTCAGTGCTAGAACGGGAGCATTAAAGAGGGGAGTTCTGCAAGATGTGAGGTTACCAGCCCTCCCCTAACTAGCGCTCTTACTTTTCTCACGATGAGGTGACACGAGAGAGTCAAAAAACACTGTGAATATTTAAATTAAAAAATGTATTACAGTAAAAGACACACTGCCACTAATCCTCTTCAAAATATTCCCCCATATTTTCCACACACTTATCCTATCATTCTTGCCATTTTCAGAAGAGCTCTGGAAATTTTCTTTTGTGAGTGTCATTAGCTGCACTGTCATAGCTACTTCAATGTTCTGAAATGATTCAAAACACTTACCTTTCACCATTCTGACTTTAGGGAAGAGCCGGAAGTCACACAGTGCCAGATTCATTGAATAAGATAGATGAGGACACATATGATATTTTATGGGCCTGCCTTTCCATTGGTGCCAATCAGCTACAAGATTCACCATACTTTTAATCATACCTCATACAGACACTCATGAAAGAGGGTTCCAGAACTGCTTCAGAAAGTGGCCAGAACAATGGGGTAAGTGTGTTTGAAGCAAGGGGCAGTATCTTGAGGGGATCAATGACAATGTGTCTTTCACTGCAATCAATTTTTTGAAGGTTTAAACACTGACTGTACGTTGCGATCACCTCCCTGTCAGTGAAGGAGTAAGCAAGAGGATCTACTGTACGTATTTGTAATACAACACGCAGTGGGGCAGATTCTTTTAGTGATAAGGGGAGCTGTTTATGCCCTAACCTCTCCTGTGACAGCTATGTATCAGCAGATGATAGTTTTAACTTCTTCAGGGGCTGAAACCTCCACTGGGAAATCCTCACTTAGGACATAGAACCTCCACATCTCCTCATTCTCAGTTCTAGGAGTTTACTATACTCCCACACTTTCCTTCATGTTTCCCCTGTTTTCAGAAATAACTCCGCGCAAGTGAGCAACTGAGCAAGAGTCCAGTGCAGTGATCTCAAAGAACAAACCAAGTATTTAGAAGCAAGGCAAGCCAGCATAACTCCCCACAAGGACCTTCTGAAAGTCTGAGGAGAACATACCGTTGGAGCTTGCAGCAGCGTGGGGCTGACTCTGGAAGGTTCTAGAACGGGTACCATACTGCCCTGAGAACTGCCCGCTTTGGGGTGGCGGCTCATTCCACACTCGTGAGGAAGCGGGGAGGCTCTGAGGGGCCTCTGCAGAGGAGTTTGAACGCTGAGGCCAGACCAGATCCAGGTCCTGGGGTTCTTCTTTTAATTTTTCCCCTTCTTTGCCAACGCGCTGGTAGATCCTCCCAGTGCTGTCATTCAGTAATCTTCTCATCCCTGTAATTTGCTTTTTAATTTCCATGCTTTCATCTCCTAATGGAAACAAGGCCAAAGTTAGCATTGGAAATCAGCACAAAGAAAAAACAGGCCACTACGAAACAACGAAACAGAACAACCCTCCTTTGGAAATGGGCAAGAATACTGACTTCGTAAATTGAAGCAATTCATAAAAATGAAAGGCAGGAAAACTGGCTATGGTCTGAAGACTTCACGCAGTCCGGAGGTGTCTCACGTTCATCTCCTTCCGGCCAGGCTCTTCTTGGTGTGTGTCACTGGGGACACATTCGATCCCTCCCTGGACGCACTTTCTTACAGTATTACAAGAAAATGAGCTGAGACAAAGGCAAGGACGGGTGTGAAGGGCAGGGTCCTCCGCCCAGCTGGAGCCATACAGAGGCGTGAGGGGATCAAGGCCAGGCAGGTAACCAGCACAGACGGCTCCGGTCACTCGTGTGTTAGCGCGGAAGGCTGGCGCCCAGAGAAGAACGCAGGCTGTCTGCTGGGACAGGAGCTTTCCAAGAATGGCTACAGGGCACGTCGGAGCGCTACTGACGGCAGATGTCCTCCAGGAAGACGTCACGTTCAGAGAGGACAACAGGACACAGAGAGACATGCTAAGTGCTAAGGAGGACTGTGCATTTCCAGTGCCCGGCCTCTATCACACCACCCTCAGGGGGCCCCTGGGGTCCCACCTACGCTAGCTAACCGGCCAGACAGGCACCGGATGTGTGGAATGTGGCCTCCCCACTCTGTACCAGACCCACCACCCAGCCCTGCCCAGCCCCAACCGCCTGCCCCTTCCCCTGCAAAATCTCTGTAACTTCATGCAAAGGCAAAAGACTGTTTCTAAACCCACTTCACCTAACACCGACTTTTTAAGATCATGGTAAAATACGCATAACATGAAATTCACCATCTCAACCACTTTTAATGCACAGTCCCGTAAAGTACATTCACACTATTGTGCAACCAATCTAGATATCTTTTTACATCATCTTCTTTATTAAGACTCTTTTTCAGCCCGGTGTAGTGGCACATGCCTGTAATTCTAGTACTTTGGGAGGCTGAGGCAGGAAGATCTCAAACCCATCATGGACAACTGGAGAACCTATCTCAAAATTAAAAAAAATTTTAAAAAGGGCTAGGAATATAGCTCACTGTGAAAGTCCTGGGTTAAATTCCCATACTGCCAACCCCCTGCAAAAAAAAAAAAAAACAAAAATCAACAGCACAACAACAAAAAACAAGATTCTTTCTCCCTTATGGGATTTTTTTATTTATTTTTTTATTTTTTTGGTTTTTCTCCGGTACCGGGAACCGAACTCACGACCTTGCGCTTGCCAGGCAGGTGCTTTTGACGCTGAGCTAAATCCCCAGCCCCCCTTATGGGATTTTTTTAAAAACTAAGGTATCTCTACACCAGACTGAGGACACTTCCTAAACAAGATGACTATAAGACTGTACAGACAGGAAATGTTTTCATCGTCTGGGAGCCATTTCAAACATACTGTCTTTTTTTTCTGCAGTGCTGGGAAAGGAAGCCAGGATTTGCACATGTTAAGCAACTGTTTTGCACGGAGCTCCCCAGCCCGACGGTATCTTTTAAACTGTGCACTGCCAGTGTCTTCGCAGAAATGAAAAGACTCGCTTTACTTTCTTCCTCTAACCTGGGCATTAAAAGTCCAGGTATGTGTTCCCATTCATGAGTCACTCTACTCAATGCCTCAAATTTAGACTAGGAGAAAAAGAAAAGGACAAAAGAAAATGTCCATTAAGAGAGCATAGCTCTTGCAAATAAATGTATAGCATAGTATTTTAATATACTTGGCGTCATATAATCTAGACTTCTCAGTAGAACTAGTAATTGCACAAGAACCTAGCTATTTTGTATTACCTAGTTAGATATTTAGCTTACTGATATACGTATCACATTAGCAGATACTGTGTAGAGAAATTTTACACACTATTTTAAGATAAGGCTCTTCAATTTGGGGGGAGTAGACACTGCGGATGGACCCTAGAGCTTTGCTCATGCTAAGCGATACTCTACCACTTAACTATTCCTCCAACCTCTACAACTTTTTTTAAAAACGGTTATAAAAATACTAATTCTATCTTTAATATTAAACACTGGCGAATACAAAAAAACCACAGATTTCCAAAGTTACAATATTGTTAAAGGTTGGCATATGCCTCAGAGGAAAAATATCTGAATTTGTAATAAAACTATTTCCACTTCAAACACCAGTGAAGATTATAGCAAAGAAACAATAAATCATATTCCAGATTGTATGAGAATAAACGAGCAAGCATGTTTTAAATAATACAAAGTCAGCAACTCTTACACCGTCCTCACAGTGCCTGGGAGCAGGGTGCGTCTGGAGGGGCTCGGGCTAGTCTGGAAGACAGAGCTCCAGTCACACACCCTCCTGGCCAGGCAGCCGCACCGCGGGACAGAAGCAGGGCTTCCCTGCACTTTTCACCCTCTGTTCTCTGACCAGGCCCAAGGCACAAGCAGGCTGCACAAAGCCTGCTCGTCACTGGCAGGGCTGCTGACTGCCTCTTCTCGTACCCAGGGCCCCCCGGAAGGAGCTGCCCTCAGCCAGGCCACGCAGGCCCGAGTCAGTGGGACTCTCTTCTCCAACCTGATGCGTCATTACAGGAGAGGGGATGCTGAGTCATCCTACAGAACCCAGAGGTGTGGGTGCTGAGAGCAGGCAGGCAGGCTGGGGGCAACTGCCCGGACAGCAGAGGCGAGCAGGCATGGTGAGGAAGCCGGGCCGTGACCCTGAGGCCTGGACTCGCTTCTCAGCTGCACTTAACTCGCCACTGGCTCTCAGACAAGTCACTCTGTATCCTCGGACTTCAGCTTCCTGAATCTGAGCCAGGCCTGTGCTAGTCAGAACCAAACCAAGAAATATGCAGAAGCAGTGTAAGAGGAACATAGGCTTCTCAGCCTCTAAGGCGTTAGCCAAGACTCTTCACTTTGCGGGGAGCAGACACTGCAGATGGATCCTAGAGCTTCTGGAAGTCACATGTGTCCACAGGAAAAGTGGCTTATTCCATCACAGTGGAACCCAAACTCTAATCTTTAAAAATGGCAGAAAGGATGAGATTGAAACGTTAGTTTAATTTTGTGTCTTTCTAGTTCTAATTAGAGTCCTCTCTATTAGAAATATTTAGAAAAGTAAACAATTAGGAGCAAGACGCTATCCAGAAAAGTAAGATTCTACCAGGTCACCTGTGCGTTTTTTCTGACTTCTTTCCACACTTTTCTATGTTTTCACTTATGCACAACTCCTAGAACTTAAATTAATTTTGGAAAAACAAAGAGAAATGTTACTTTAACAAAGCTGAGCCATGTGGCTGCTTTATTAGTAAAGCAACCTTAACTGAATTCCTCTTATGAGTTTTGTAATTATACTCCATGGACAGGGTCTAGAGAAGAATGCAGGCTGAATTCTACTCCTTCGTCAATGTCAGTACTGTCACTTTCCTTTACATAAAAAAATTTACATGCTACAGAGTCTCGCATATGTGGTAAGTATGAGGGCAACAGACAGGTCACCACAGAGAATCTGACTTAACTTCACAAGGATACACCACGCAGAACCTTCACAGCCTTGGGCAGTAAGAGACAGCCACGAACAGGGACAGTGGTTGTACACACACGGCACGTGTGCCTCTGTACCTGTCCTGTCATTATGAAGACACACGAAGAACAGTTACTGCATCTTCATCCCACATATGACCTGGTCTTGGTGTATACAGAAGCACTCCGTAAGCCTTTCTCAAGTAAGTGTAAAAGAACTGGCTTATCAAAGACATAATGAAATCCAACAGAATTAAGTGCAACACCAAAGTAGTAAACAATCTATTAATGCAAGAGTGGAAAGGTATTGGAAAGAAACTAGTCAACAAACATTTTATGGAGCACCTCTGAGGTTCCAAAAATACAAAGATCACTGGACACAACTGAAGGCACTCCTCTCCAAAGCTCTCAACATCTTTTACCCAAATCCCTCTACACGGATTTCCTGCTCTGAAAATGGTCCTGACTGTGCAGAACCTACCGATCCCGATTCCCTTCACTCTCGAGAACTAGTCAGGTACTCGAAGAGTAAAGGGCCCTGCCATTCGCAGGTGATACTGTCTGCTTCCTTCCTGGGCTAAGGCCCAGCTCTTCCTGGAGGACACTGCCTCACCTGCACGGTATTTATCCTCCCGCCCCGAGGACGATGTGAATGTGGGCAAGAGTGAACTTGGGTTTCTTCTGGCCGCTAAAATCCCACTTCTCCTGCCTCAGGAAGGAGCTCACAGAGCCGTGCCCACCTTCTGTACTTCCTCCTGAGTAGCAGCTCCACGTGCCAGCAGCTCAGGATTCACAGGAGCCGTGCAGGTCACGACACTGAGCTGTCAGGGTGGCCATCCTCCCATTAAGGACCTCATGTGCCAGGATAAGGTCAAATTTTACACTGGAGACAACGGGCTACTCTGCTGGGTAAGTCAACTCCATTATCTCTTTTAGTAGAGGAATAACAAATAATCAGACATGTTCTTTAGAAAAATAATTCTGGTGAAATTATGGTGAAACTGGTGTGGAGAAAGAAATCCAGCAGAATATTCTTGGCAAGGCTTACAGTCATGGCAGATGCCTTCACTGGGACTTGGGAGGTGGGCGTAGAGACAGAAGGTAGAATTAAGACAATGGAGAACCTTAACCAAATGGGGGTGGTAATTATCTAGTGGGGCGATGCAGTGAGGGTAGAGACACAGGAGAATCAAGGAATGGCAACTCTGAGGTTTCTAGCTCAGGTGCCTAACTGGATGTGAATAGTGGCCAGAGAATTGGCAAAACACAGTTGTAGAGATCTGGGGATATAAGAAGCCTCGTGTGTGTGTGTGTGTGTGTGTGTGTGTGTGTGTGTGTGTGTGCGCGCGCGCATGCAGTTACACACACATGCGTGCTGGGGATTAGTCCCAGAGCCTTGGTTCATGCTAAGTTCATTTTCAACCACTGACCTACATCCTAG